TTTAATCACAATGGAATTAGTGAGTGAGTGAGTGAGAGAGAGAGAGAGAGAGAGAGAGAGAGAGAGAGAGAATATTGTTTGTGAAAATATTGTTTGAAAAAAATACTAAGAAGATTATCGACATGGTCGAAAACCGAATCGAATTGGGAAAAAAAGTTAAAATTTTTCTCGATTAAAAAATTCTTTTCCCACTACCACTGAATAATCTTGTTTGATGATGATCATCAAATTTGACCAATTTCATCATCATCATTTCATCTTAATTCCGGAATTGTTCATTTCTTTTTTTCTGGTTTGATCGATTTGACCGCTTTTTTCTTTTTTTGTTCTAGATTTTTTGTTCTGGTTAGTGAAGATGATTTTTGCTGTTGTTATTGTTTTATCCGATTGTTTTGTTGGCTGCATTTCATTAATGAATGAATGATTTTCAAGTTTGAACAGCAACAACAAAAAGTGTTTGTGAGTGCAACCAAAGAGAGAAAAAGAGAAAAAAAGCAATCAATTGATTGATCAAAAAACAAAGATTAGATATTTTTAATCAAACAAAAAAATTTGATGCATCTTCGGATTCTTGACACATATACACACACAGAAAAACAAAAAACGTTGAATATTCTACATCAAGTAAATTGCCAAGAATTTGGTAGCCAAACAAAAAAAAACTGCCAATCAACAGAATTATTATTATTATTATTATTGGATTCATTGATTCAATATCGGTTCGATTCTTTTTCTATTCATTTTTGGTTTCTTCATCATCATTTCATTATTGGTTAGCCTAGTTACGTGATGTTTTTGTTTTGTTTTCCATTTGTTGATGTTGCCTAGTTTGTCTTGTTTGTTGTTGTTGTGGTTTTCTAGTTGTTTTTCTTTTGTGAAATCGGAAATTCTCAATAAATTCTTTATACCACTAAACGATAATTAGACAAACAAACAAACAAGCGAACAAACGAACATTTCTCAATCAAAAATAAAAATTGATTGAATTTTTTTTTTCAACTAGCAAAAAAAAAATTCTGTATGTAGAGAGTTTATCATCTCTAATTGACTACGTAACACTAACGTTTTGTTTTTGTTTTTATTTAATTAACCGTCTGAACATTTTAGTAATTAGTAATGTTTTCTCTGCTATTTAGGTTAACGTTTGTTTTTTTTTCGGTGTATTTTTTTTTATTACTGACATTAATCTCTCTCTCTCTACGGGTATTACGGGCGGCCAACAAATCAAATATTTTTGGTACAAAAATCTCTATAGAGACAAAAAAAACTGGCTATAATAACCAACGTAGAATTATATAATTTTCTTTGATGTTTAATGCCATTTTGCGTTTGCGTATTTGATGCTTTACACTTTTGCTTTTGCTTTTTTTTCTTTCAGAAATGTGTTACACTTTAATTAATCGAATTTGAACAAAGAATATAAAAAAAAAATGAAGAATAATAATTGAACACGCCGCATCACAACAGAAAGTGAAATTTTCTTCTTCTTTTTCTCCCCTACTCCTGATCATCATTCTTTTTTTCCGGCTGGCTTAAAATTTGCAACAACAATGAAAAAAATGAAATGAAAAAAAATTTGCCTTTTTCTCATCACATCATCATTGTTTTTTTCTCCAAACAATGTTGAACAGAAAAACAGCTAAATGAATTAGATTAGATTAGATTATAAAAGATGATGATGATGATGATAGGGAATTTCATTCACTTTTCTCATTCAATCCAGAAATTTTTTCTATATTCAAAAAGTTTCATTTTTTAAAAAAATACAGAGGAAAATTTGATTAAAATGACTTTTTTTCATATATAATATTGAAAACATCTGTATATCATCACCGACGACGACGACAGCATTTACATTGTCAACGTTTCTATTTCCATCATCATCATATCGGGAATAATAATAATAAAGAAATTTTCAATAAAAATTCTAGCAAAACAAATTTGTTTTTTTGTTGTTTTCCATTTTCATCATCATCATCATCGCCGTCATCATCATCATTTTCGCCATCCAGATGATAATTCTAGAACTTGAATGACTTTTTTTTTGCTGAACTGAAATTCAATTTACAAAAATAAAGAAAGAATAGGCAGAAAAAGAAAGAAAGAATCCATTACCCAAAAAAAAGAAATGAATGTTTTTTGTTTTTTTTCGCTTCTTTTCACTTTTGTTTTTTTGTTTTTATTAAATGGTTTTTCTTTCAATGTTCAATTCAATTAACATTTATCGTTTTTGTTTTGTTTTGTTGTTGTTTTGTTTTTGACAAAGTTCATTCAATAAAAGAATGAATGAAAAAAAATCAATAAATCCATTAGAGTGGATAGTGATGACAATTGTTTGTTTGTTTGTTTGCTGTTTGTTCGTGAAAAAAAATTCATTCACTTTGATTCTTGATCGATTGATTGATCGATCATCGATCAATACTTTTTTTCTGTTTTTTGGTTTCTGTTTTTTCGACTACCAACAACAACAACAACAACAATTGTTGTTGTTGTTGTTGACCGTCAATTATGTAACCTACTTGAACGGTTGAATGAAACATCAATGACGAAAACAAATGTTGTTGTTGTTGTTGTTATTGAAACAACCAGACCGGAAAAAAAGTGTTGATTAAATTTTGTTGTTTTTGTCTCTTTATTTGTATACAAAAAAGGATGTTTTTGCATACATTTCTACCCACTCGAATTTTCTCTATTTTTTCTTCTATCAAAATGATCATCAACACATTTTGTTTATAAAAATTTCTTGTTTTGGTTTGTTTTTTCCCTCTCTTTTTTTGCGATTGGCTCATTGATCTTTGCTTGATAATAATAAACACATAATCAACATATAGACACATCAACATAGTTTGAATGAAACATCCGATTCATTGAACCAAACGAAAAACAGTGAAAAACTTTAATTTCAAATGCAAAGATGATGAAGAATCGAAAACAACATTTTTTGGATGATGATTCTATTCTTCTTGAAAAAAAATTCAAATTTCCATTCTACAATTCTACTACAAAGAAAAAAAGCAAGAAATTAAACAATCGATCGATCGATATTGATCGAATGGTTTGATTGATTGATTGATTTTAATTTTTTAATTTTATAAAAATAAAATACAGGAAGAAACAAAACAAAAAAAAAATTTACTATTTCTATCTTTAAATGTGTGATGAATGTAATGTTTTTGCAATGTGTAATAACTAATGCTGTTGAAATAGTTGCTATTTTTTTATTATTATTATGATTTTTTGACGGAAACCAGATAATATTATTATTATTTATTTTGTTAATTTTGGAAAACAACAGAAAAAAATTTCAATTTTTTCGTTGCCATTCGTTTTTTTCATCTTTTCCATTTTTCATTTTTCCTGGTGAAAAAATAATATATTGTAGCGGTGTACTAGAATTTCAAAACGATTTCAAGTCAGTAACATCTGATGTTGATGATTGTTGTTGATTATTATTTTTGTGAAATATTTCTTGAAATTAAAAAGAAAAATGTACTTATATTGAATATAAATGTAACAAATGTATATGATGTTATTATTATACCATTGGTTAATTGAAAACCTGATGGACGATTTAATAATGTACTTGTTATTGATTCATACTGGATTTAGGGAGAAAAAAAATTAACTAATAAAAGGACAAAATATACAATATGTATTTACCTTAAATAATTGACGATTAAGAAAAATTTTCTTATCTAATGTTGATAATGATAAACATTTACGTTTTAAACGTAAAATTTTTTCATTATTATCTTTAATAATATCGGATGCAATAATTAATAAAATTAATATCATATAATGTGAATGTAATACAACCAAATAAAGACATATGAATATAATATTCTGTTCAGTCATTGTAATAAGATATACTAAAAATGTTATTGTTACTGTAATCGATGTAAATATAACCGATACAAAACGTTTTAATTGATGATTATGTTTATCGATTTCTTGTTGTAAATTAGCAAATGAACGATTATATTGATCAAATATTTGTCCAATTAATAATAAATGACGTTGATTTTTTTGTATATTAGTCATTGTTGTTATTTGATATCGTAATAAATATTGATAAAATCTTTGTAAACCACGAATAAATGATTTTTGTCTTAGATTATAATAATATTGTATTATAAATACTATTGATGCAACATGATATAATGCTAAATATGAATAAATAATTGAAAGAATAAAATGAAATGAAAAGAATGAATGATTTTTTTACCTGAATTTGCATTGTTTGTCCATAATTGTATAATAAATAACCAGATTATTGACCAAAATATTGATATTTTCCATGATGATTGTTGTATCATTATTATTATTTTTCCAAGAAGAAATAATGCACAAATTAGATATGATTCTATACGTGTCATTGAAAATATACGATCTCTTAATAGATTGAATTTTTTTTGATTTTTATCATTTAATTTACGATATTTTTCATAACGAATCGGTAATAGAAAATCATAATCTTCAAAACGACGTGATGATGCATAAAAACCATTTATCATACTATTCAATGACCAAATAATTAATCCTTGCATTAGATAATGTAGACCATCTTTTGGAAATAGACCAGTCATTGCTTGATACATTGAATAATCTTGAATCCAATCAAATTGTTTAATATAAATAATTGACATTGTACAAACAAACAATAATGGTAATACAAAAAATGGACTATGATGTGGTGGATTTTTAATCCAACCAATTGGTTTTTCATCCATACGAAATGTTTTTTCAATCAATTCATCATATTTAAAAATGAAAAAAAATTGATTATGATATAGGCGATACAGTGTATTTTTCATTAATTTTTTCCATAATATTATTTCATAATCAACAATGTAATTCATGTTTGAAAAAGGTATGAGGATGTTGATTGATGTTTGTTCACATTGAATGCAAATCTAGAATTGATTTGATTGAAATCAAGAACAAC